GAAGTTCTGCTTCTAAGATGATCTCACCAAATAACAAAGCCAAAGCATTGTGTATCCACAAGTCCGTTTTTGATGGAGTGTTATATTTGTGGGGCTGCCTGTGAAGATGAGTAGAAAACTTCAATTGGTCCAATATGCAGCAGCCAGATTACTGGCTGGGGCTCCATTTAGATGTCACAAAGGCCCTGTATACTGGTTGGCAGTCCATCCATTGGACCAATTCAAGGTACTCACATTAGTGTTTATAGCTCTAAATGATGGGCCCCAAATACATGAAAGATGGACACAGACCTTCTTAGGTGCTAATATCAGCAGAGGGGTCTCTCTTGGTTATATCACATTCCTTAGAAACTCAGTTGTGTGTGTGTTGTCCAGAAAAAGGCATTCTTTGTGACAGCCCCTAAATTGTGGCACTCCCTCCACACAAAAGCTTTTCTGGCATCTTCATTATATTGTTTCTAGTGAATGCTGAAGGTACACCTCTTTACCTTGACTTGGACACTTGAGATGTATATTTTAAGGGCCCACCTTATTTCTGTGATTTTATGTTGCTTTAAACTGTTTTTAATATTGTTTTTAATGTAACCTGCCAGGAGACCTTATGGTAAAGGGAAGGTAATACTAATAACAACATAAATGTAATGCTTTTATGGACCAGTCTAGGTCTTTTTAAAAACGTTATTTTCGTATAAGCATTTGAGATAGCTTCTGCCCACAACTAAATGGTGAGGTATCTCTCAAGTACAACTTTATCTCAATCTTTCCAGAAGTTGGCTACTGGCAGCCACATGACTATAGGTTTGAACAAACAGCAGAAGTAATGAGACTGCTGCTGAGTGTTTTTAGCATGGTGATTTTATTTTATTTAGTTCTTTGGTATGATGTTTGCAAATAGGAAGCTCACAGATTCTTTGTCATTGATCTGTCATCAAGTCAGTGAATTGTGTTGCTGTTCACTTAATATATAACTGAAGGTGCTTTTATGATCCCCGCCATGCCTTTCTTCTGCTCCTGTGCTTCTACCAGCAGAGACTCTATTACCTGTTTGTGATCTCTCTTGACTCTTGGAAATTTATGTTGGGATTTGGGTTTTTTGCTTGCATTAGGAAACTTGTCCAGTGATCAGCCAACGCATTCACATAGCTCACAAACCTATCAAATAAAATTACTTTGAGTAAATCAGGATCCCAGCTAAATAATAGCTCTTCATTACTAATGATCCAAGCCAGTTAGCTCTTCTATTTACACTTGTTTAAGCAGCAAAGGAAGTCAAGCACCACTGCTGCACAATCTCCCTTTGTTTCAGAGAATTTCACTGAAATGAGTGGAGGTTGTGCCATGGTACAGTGCTCAGTCAATTGTGCCTGAAGTCTCTTGACTGTAGTGAAGGCTCAGTTGATCAGAAGCCTTTCACACTTGGTAATGATACTTAGGACCAGAATAACAAGTAGATAGGAAGGAACAGTTTTTTTTATATAGTAAAACAGTATATATTGTATTATATATACAAACCATTTTTGTATAAGTATTTTGTTCAGGTTTTGGATGCTTTTATTTTATACCTCCTGTTATTAATGCATACAAAGCTGCATTGTTTATCATGGCATTTTTGTATCTTTCAATTTTCCTGTATATTGGACAAAGTATTATAAACAATGGAAAGAAAGGGCTACTTTGTGACTTTGAAAACATGCTGAAACATTCTTATTAGTATTTCAGTTACTTCAGTCATCAGCTGGTGTTTTCAATTAACAATTACCAATAACTCTGAAATCTTTCTTGAATAGAAATATAAGTCACCATTATAAATATATCATTGAGATTATTTTACAAAACAGTACTCTGGATATATCCATAGTAGACTTCATCAGTCATTTGAATATCCTTTCTAAGTATTTGAGATCATTCTGCACCATCTGCTTAATGTAGTTTGGATAATATTGTATCACTGCAAAAAGAAATATATCATTAATGAACGTATTAATGAGTCACAAAACCAAACTTACGTGATGCTGCACGTGCACCAGCATTGTAATGAAGTCCAAAAAAACCTGCCAGCCTGCCTGCTCACACCTCTCCAAGTCATTTGTGGCACATCAATAGTCTAAAAGGAAATAAAATGAATCAACTCTCTTCCAGTTGATAGAAATTTTCCTGCCTAGAGGCTTAGGCAAGTGACTGTTAAAAAGCCTATATTACATGTATTCACAGTTGTGAAAAAGACATTCTGTACCAATGCCTTGAAATTAATTTACCCAGCTGTAAGTGGCTCTTCTTCAAAGGATGATATTTGTCGATGAATGTGAGACATTATTCAATCCATACACCTTCTTGCCTGTCTGCCAGATACATTACAATCCTGTATGATTCTCCTGACTAGAATTATGCTTCAAAACAAGATCTTGTTGCTTAGGCAGTGCATTTTTGTTTGCATCCCTTAGGGATGTCAAGGTTGTCACAGGCATCTAGCTAATAAGATCTAACTGGGCCTGATTAACCAGTATAAGAATTAGTTTTGAAAGCAACAGTTTGACAGTCTCTTTCATAGCTTTTTAAAATCTATCTCACAATTAAAGGTAAAGGTACGGGCCAGTCTTGCCAGACTCTGGGGTTGTGCGCCCATCTCACTCTATAGGCCGGGGGGCCAGCGCTGTCCGCAGACACTTCCGGGTCACGTAGCCAGCGTGACAAGCTGCATCTGGCGAGCCAGCGCAGAACACGGAACGCCATTTACCTTCCCGCTAGTAAGCGGTCCCTATTTATCTACTTGCCCCAGGGGTGCTTTCGAACTGCTAGGTTGGCAGGCGCTGGGACTGAGCAACGGGAGCGCACCCCGCTGCGGGGATTCGAACTGCCGACCTTTCGATCGGCAAGTCCTAGGTGCTGAGGCTTTAACCCACAGTGCCACCCGCGTCCCATCTCACAATTAGGGTACATTAAAATCTAGAAGTGCCTTCATTATTTTTGTATTCCACTGAAAAATTTCAGTGGGGCTAATGCATACAAATAGCAGAAAGCCCACAGTTGTGATGAGTTTGGGATGGTGACTGTGTAAGGCATGCACTGTGACCATCAGGATCCCTCCCAGTAGAAGTTAACCTCCCAATGTCAAGGGTGATAGCCAGCCAGCCAGCGAGCCCACCCCACTCCCTGGCCCAGCCCAGCCCAGTGATATGTGTCCTATATGCAGTATTTTGGTTTTCCTTTAGGAATTAATGTTCTTTCCTAACAGAGTTACAAGATGTGGGTTGGACATTCTTGGATAACATGGGAAGGCAGGGATGTTTCAACTCACCCTGGAAAAGATTCAGCAGGCACAGAGACTTATAGTCAAAGGAGAGGGAAGGCTCAGAACCTGTTGGACCATTTCAGCCCCATAAGAGTTATGTGTAGATTTCAGACCCCAAATTGGGCTCGGTTCACTTGCAGTCACTGATTCAGGCCTGACTGCATTAGTTCATTTGATTTTCATCTACCAGTCTCCTCACACTGTATGCTGTTTTGATCTGCTTCCTTTCCTTTCTTGCTTTAGTATCTGAGCAGTGTGTCTAGGATACATGAGAGAGCCAGGCATGTTGAAACACATGACCTTTATCTGGTTTGAAAATATGCATGGGAAATTAATGTGCAATGTCTGTTCTTCTACAGTGATAACTTTAGCAGAGGGGAACCAAATGTCATTGCACCTTGCAGATCTTAGGAAACCTGGGATAGATTTATTATAATAAAACCTCATTGCTATTAATAGTTCTTGGCTTTCTGCCAGTGCTTGTATTTAAGCACTTATGGGATTAATGATAAATTCTGAGACAACAGCCTCTTTACATCTTGATTCACTTCACTGAGTACATGAGGTAAATTTTAATGGCCGCAACAAAAAGAATTACTTGAAAGCAATGCTGCATAATTTACATTTTTACAAATTGTTAGTGACTTGAAATAGTGGGCTAAATCAAGGCCTTTTCTGGAACAGTAGCTCCACTCTCCATAGTTCAACTCAAAAGTAAGCCCTGTTGAATTTAATTGAACTTATTCCCATGTATATAGGATTGTAGCCTCAGAAAGCCATATTTTTTATATTCATGAAAACAGCATTTAATGTTTCCTCTAGTATTTCATGCTAGACTTGTATAATCTTAACTGATTTGTATTCCACCACATATAAAAACTGAGGGGAAAGTAAAACTTTAGGAGTTCTTCCTTCATATGATTTTCTTAGACGTCTTAATTACATTTAATTGCATCTTAATCTGCATTTCTCGATTTTGTTTACTTTGGAATGCGGAAAGAAATAGAAGTGGTTGATCACAACTTTCATATTAATGCTGATGTTCTTAGCTATATAGCTATGTGAGTACATACAGCTATAGCTTTTTACACATAATTTATTTTGGTTTTGAAACTCATATTCAAAGTGGCACCCTGAGTACAAAAAGAGAGAAAAATCCCATAGGAATTACCTATTCATTCATTTTGTTCTGGAGGGAAATCCACCAGATGAAATCCATGTCCCTATTCATGTAGTTTGCATTGGAAAAGGCAGTTAGGCACTGCAGATCCAAGTTTTATTTTTTTAATTTAATGCACTTGCTTCCTTTAGTGTTCGCTGCTACATCCCCATCAGCCTGGTATAGCTACTTCAGTCATTAACCTATTGGTATTTTTGCAATAGTAACATCTACATATAATGCAGCTTTTTAATGGCATATTTTGCCTGCCTTTATGAAGGTCATTCATTCTAACTGTGCAATGTCTGTATTTAAATGGAAGAAGCCTTATAAGCAAGAAAAAACTTGTAGAAACTAGAAAGACACTAGAGTCATTTTTGCTCTTCCTCATTTGCATTTGAGTTTCATATTAAAGCTTGGAGTTGATTGTAGTACTTTAATTAGTCCCCAGTGGGCTTAAATGGACAATGGACTGACTGCTCATTAGCCTGTTTGCTTTCTGTGAAGCCTTGCAAACTATCTAATGTTGCCTGTGTTTCATGCACTTTCCAGATGTCGCAACTCCTTATCCTGATAAGAAGTCCATCTTGATGTACGTGACATCGCTTTTCCAAGTCCTGCCCCAGCAAGTTACTCTTGAAGCCATCCAGGAAGTGGAAACATTGCCACGGCAATCAAAGCACATCAGAGAAGAGCACGTCCAGTTACATCAACAGCGCTTTTCACAACAGGTGAGTTCTTTGGGGGGTTTAATTCTAATAGCCAATAAAGTCATATATTTAGTGAAAAAGAGACTATGGGCAAGATCCAACTAAGTCACTGTCAGAGTAGACCCACTGCAGACAGTGAAGAATTTACATGCCCATTGATTTAAGTGGTTAATTCTCAATATGACTAACATTGAATATCACTCTATGTATACTTTATTTGCACGGTTTATACTGTTAACTGCCATGCATGAAGTAATAGACTGTTTTTGAAATGAAGAAAGTTATGCTTTTTGTGCATTACATGATGCAAGTCAGGCTCCAATAGCATGCAACACTTCCTTGTTCGAAGCAAGGTAATTCAAGGTAAGATTTTGTGTCATTTTGGTGTCTTACATTCAAAGCACGTCTTGAAATTAGTAAGGCTTTGCCAATCAAGCGCTCTAAGGGTCGCAGACATAGCTTACTTAAAAGGCTGTGTCACTTTTAAACTGCTTTGCTCTGTCCATCAGCTTTCTCAGTCTTTCATTAAATCTTCTGCATGTATGAAAAGCATAAATAGTGGGAACATTTTTATTACTCAGTAGACTCTCTACAAAAGCAATACACTTATTCACTGCTCAATATGTACAGGATGCTGTTTGGATTTAGCTACCTCTGTTGCACAGTTAATATGTTTATACACAAATAAGCTTTCTGTTGGATCTGCTGCGGAGGGCTTCCATATCCAAGCCAGTGTCCCAAATCAGCATCTTTTATAGTTTTTAATACCACACTATCCTACTTATAATATTTCATAAGCAGAAAGTAGAAAATAAAGCACACACACACACACACCATTTATTACCCCATATAACCTGGAAGAAACATCTTTTCTGAGTCAGAAATGTCGTTGAGAGCATAGAAATTCATTCACCAATGAGATAATATTACCTTGGCCTTTAATTAGACATCCAGCCCATCCAGTGTTCTAATTCCACGCTTGGTAATCAGACTTTGTATGCTCTTACGATTATTATATAGCTAATGGTTGAAACAATTGGCCTCACATTAGGATGAGCTGCTGCTAGAGCCTTATTGATGCCTCTCCATCTCTAATTTTATTTGTCTAGCTTTGGGACATGAGGCAAAATATTGACTTACTGACATCAACTTTCCCAGGCAGTATAACACTTTCAGTTGTGAACTACCAGAGTTACTTTGAAGGTACTAGAGACCAATTCTTGCTCTTAGTTTTCCAGGCATTCCCCACACCCTGGTTCCTGTCCCCACACATCCATGGGCCTTCCAAGCTCTTTGACTAGAACAAAAATGATTTTACAAGTGATTTCCCCCTCCTTAGGGTTAGGTTATATAGAGCTGTCACGATGAAGTGGAAAACCTCTGTATCTTTCCTTTGGTTATGCATTCCTGTAGCTGTATCTCATGGTGTAAAACAGAGTTACAGTTGCTTGAATTTCTCCCACTGAAAAATTGCAGGGGTTGTTTACTTGTGGTGCCAGTTCCTTGTAAAAAAAAAAAGGTCTTATCGTTACTCAAATTTAGATGTGTATGGAAATTCTCAAACTATTTGTTTCTTTACTTAAGCGGGCACACTGTGGCAACTGCATTCCCATGAGAGGCTAGCCTGATAGTTATATTTCTCGAAGTGAACAGAAATTCTAATTATTAATTAACTCTCTTATTTCTGGGACACTAGCATTTTTAGATTTGTTGATCAGATGGCCATTTGCTGACTGCTGAGCACATTTATTCAGAACGTACTATGAGTCCTTGCTACTTTGCTTTCTGAGTGTGCTGAATTATAAAGGCCCTTTACTGATTTGGGGTGTCATGCCAGGAATAATTATGTGGCACTTCAAGGAGTCTTTTTACTTGCCATGAAAGGATGTCATATTAATGAAAGCAGCTCACTAAATTCCACATAGTTTTTTTTTTTAACTCTTTATGGCAGCACTGTTTTCTGCAAGATAGAATTAAACTGCCGGCATTTCCCCTGAAAGTATACGTTCTGTCCTTTCTATTAAGCATACTCATCCGTGTGTGTGTCTGCTTTTCTTCCTAATTTCTTCTCCTTAGATCAAAGTCAGTGTAGCACAGGGTCATGTGCGCACCCCTTCACCTCCACCTAAACCTCGCTTCAAAAGCTATGCGTACACACAAGCTGCTTATGTCATGTCCCCTGACCCAAAAGGGAAGGTGTTCCCTCCACAGGTCTGTCAATATTACTGTTTGTTGTGAATATTATTCTAATATGCCTGTGCTTGCTGTGGAAAATATATGCACTTTGGGTTTTTGTTTTTTTTTGCTTGTGCCCATTTTCATTTCCAGCAGTACATTTTTTAAAGGTTTGTTTTTTATATCCATCAGTCCTTTTCTGCTGTATATCTTACTTTTCTTTGCAAAACCACACCTATCTTTGTGCATTAGGCAGGAACAAAAAAAGAATAAAATTATCACCATCATCATTATTATTACATTTGGTTTCAGAATTTCAGTTAACACCATAAGCTACTTATAATCATACATGTGGAATGGCAGGACACTCAATGAAGGTTTAACTTTGTTCTCCAATAACATTCCTCTATGCCAGGGGTTCCCAAGAATGTGTTTCACAAGCTTCGTTCAGGTGGTCAGCAGCACATCTATGGATCACTGGTTGAAGATGGCAGATTAAATATTCATCTTGATTTTTAATTATATATTTATTGCTTCTTTTGTTCCTTTTGTTGTATTTTATCATATGGCAATGTGATTTCTGTGGAAATTCAAATAGTAATACAATAAAATACAACCTATAAATAATTAAAGAAGCAGTGGAAATGCAACTAAAAGTCATATTGCACAGTGCATTGTTGCAACAGACAGAAAAGGAATTAATCGGTTGGCCGAGACCCTCAGCAATTGTCAAGTGCCCTGTGCAGGAGGCAGGGAGGGGGAAGCTAAACCACAAAACAATTGCACATTGTGGGCCCTCATTTTAAATGGACAGGAGTGTCATATGCAATATGGCATGGGGTAGGTCATTCTGAAAACGATTACAAAATTTACAGGGGACTCCATATTTTCCCATGGACATAGATGTTTCTCTTTCACCCTGCAGCCCTGCACCTCCTAAAAAGCCTTGCCGGCAGTGGAGGGTTACAGTCTGAGATCCCTATGAATAGCATAGCCTGCGTTTTAGAAGAATCGCCCCAAATCAGGAGGGGAAGCCTTGTACCAGGGGATGTTCCTGTCTCCCTGCTCACACAACTTAAGGTGCTAAAACACCTTAAGCAGTGATGTTACTGCCTTTTGAACTGCTACATGAAATGTAGAGGAGTAAGCTTTATTTGATCCATTTGTCAGATTCTCCTACCATTACTTTAAACATTTGTTTAACTGTCAGCGGTATACAGGCCTTGTGCAGCGCACAAAAGTTATCGATCCATGATCAGATAATGGTATCATCATTGTGCACAAAGAGTAAATCTCATATATTTCTAGTAACTCACATCTACCTCTATTCACTACTTGCCTTCTCTAACCATTCCTCCTTGTTGCTAGGCACCTTGTCCTATCATGAAAAGAAAGCATGATTCATTGTGTTTAGTTGATTGGCCCACCCTGTGGGTGGGATATGAACCCACCTAGTCAAGGTAAAAAACAACAACACCAAACACAATCTTTCCATAGGAGTGTCACCAGTTTTCTGTACTCAGAAATTTAGTAGATTGAAATTATTCTAATCTCCTTACGGCTTTTTTTTTTTAGAAGAATAACTATTACCACTTGATGTAAAATTCACTTAACATGTAGCATCTTCCAGTTCACCTGAATAGTTCTTTAAGAATAAGCCTCATAGACTAAAACTAATTGAAATGGACAATTGATCTTTGCTCACTACCAAGGAAAATCATCAACCACAGGTTTTTTTAAAAAAAAGCCCAATTTTAGGGGATGGAATAAATCAAGGTAACTGAATGGCACATCAGCATCTCAGTTAAGTGAAAGTGGCCTCATGCTGAAGGTTCTACCTTTTGGTGGTTAACTCTTAACACTTTCTGGGGGGTTTCAGAGTCAAATGAAAGCTAATTTCAACACATAAAATTGGATTTGCAGAAAACTTCCAGAAAATATAATAATATCTGTACTGTATTCTTTGGATTTGATAATTGGCAAGTTCTTCTTTAGGTAACTTCCTTTATACCCCTATCACGATGATGCATTTGGTTTCCAGACATATTTAATTAGTAGCAAAATTAAGCAAAGCGCTGTATATATTGCAAAGTAGAAAGGTAATGTTATAACTTACACGTGACTCCTATACACAGTTTCCTCCTGCCAATTATTCTTGCAAATAAATATCTATTGGAATATTAAATTAATTAATATCAAGTGAAACTGAACAGAATATTTTCCAGAAGGGTAGCCATGTTAGTCCGCTGCCAAAAATACGAATCTTGTGGCACTTAAACTGTCATGGCCAGATTCTATTTTATCAGGTGCCTAAAATGATACCCTGAATTTGGAGGTAAATGTATACAGTGGTATCTCGGGTTACATACGCTTCAGGTTACATACGCTTCGGGTTACAGACTCCGCTAACCCAGAAATAGTACTTCGGGTTAAGAACTTTGCTTCAGGATGAGAACAGAAATCATGCTCTGGCGGCCCGGCGGCAGCAGGAGGCCTCATTAGCTAAAGTGGTGCTTCAGGTTAAGAACAGTTTCAGGTTAAGAACGGACCTCCGGAACGAATTAAATACTTAACCTGAGGTATCACTGTACATTGGTGGCAAGAGGGAGAGGGAGGGCGGAGAGGGGAGGGGATGAAAAATTGGTTAGCAGAGAGATCAGAGGCAAATTAAACATAAAAGATACAGACGGTGACAATTATGGAAAAGTTTAGATGTAACATAAAGTAACAGCAGTGCCCATTCACAAAGCAGAGTTGAAGAACATCCTGGCATTGCCAAGTTAATTAACACCTGCAGAGGGACTAAAACTGTAATTTCAATTCAAACCACATGTGATAGAATTGAACTTCTTAATAAGTGTGAAGCAATTTCATGCTGGATTCTCCCTTTGTTCCTTTGTATAAGAATAGCCACATGAAGGTCAGCAGAGCCTCCTGAAATGTTTTCTTACTGGTTTCCAAATATTTCGCATCCTGATGTCAGATTTGTGTCCATCTAGACTTTTGCCTGGAGACAGACCTGATTGTCCTGTGTAGATAGCAGAAGGACAGTATTGATAGAGCAGGTAGATGAACCGTTGATGTTGTGACTTACATTATTGGATTCTTTAACAGTATTGTCTTCATACATATGAGGACAGAGTTGGCATATCGGCTTGCTGCAAGGTCTGGTCCCTGGTACCAACGAACTTGTCATATCAATCTAAGGATTTATGCTTGTGCAGGTGGAACTTTGTTGTCACCATGCCCCCCAAATCTGTTTCTAGGATTTCCCAGCACCCTCCGGGTGGGCCCAGGTCATGCCCAGGTGGAAGAGAGGGTAGAAAGTTCTGTTGCACGAGTGTAAATCCTTGCACTGAAGGGAAGCATTTGGTGGTTATTGTCCTTTGTTTGCGTTTCTGTCATGTGATCTGTTGTTGCTAGTAAGAAGCTGGTTCAGGTTATCAGTTTGCACTTAAGAGCTATTGACATTGTCAACATCTCACCTTTTTTAACATTGGGAAGTAACCCTGATTTTATTTGGTTGACATCCAGCATGTGTGATATGACTGGCTGTAGTCCATAAAAACATATGCCATAGCAACTGTGCTAATTTGAAGGTTTCATAAGACACACTGTTGTTGTTGTTGTTGTTTCAAAAGTGTCCATGTCCAGCACCTTGAGTGGGAGCTGGAAGTTAAGCAAGGGAGTGCTGGAGCTAAGGAGCTCAACAGGCAGCTCTTAGCCCAGCAAGAGGAGACAGAGAGATGCTTAATCTCACTTCCAGCTCTACCTGTCACCTATTTTACAGTGGAATCTTTCCCCTCTAAACTGAGTAGACCTTTCCTCCCAAGCAGTAGTGGCTGGTGGTGTGGGCAGGGCGGCATTATTGATGTGGTTCCCCAACACCCCCTACCAGTTGGTTACTGAGAGGGACAGAAGGAAAGGCAAGGCAGCAAGGAGCTTACACTGTGTAGCTACAGCATTGGGAGCATTGTATTGACTCTGAGGGGTTCTGGAATAGCTCAGTCAGTAGAGCATGAGACACTTACTCTCAAGGTTGTGGGTTCAAGCCCCACATTTGGCAAATGTTCCCTGCATTGCAAGGGGTTGGTCTTGATGGGCCTTGTAGTCCCTTCCAACTCTATGATGCTTCACCTATATGTGATGCTTATGTCAGGGACTGACAAGAATAGGAGGATGAAGAGGTCAATGAAAGAGGGGGTGAGAGAGAGAGTAAAGCTGGGGGTGTGCCCGGGGTGGAATGTGGGGGTGAGGAGGAGGATCTTAGGGAAGGGACCAGTGAGTTGTAGGGTTCCATTTCCCAAAGTAAGGAGAAACTCTCTCCCATCACCAGTACCTTCACTAGTGCCAGCAGTATCTGCAAGGTGTCTGCTGGCAGCATCAGGATGAATAGTTGGGGAACTGGGTGCAGGTAAACAAGAGCAAGGGGGAAGGGAGCAAGTTCAGAAGTTGAGAGGAAAGCTATCAGGGATCCCTAAATTCTTATAACCTGCAGAGCTCTCAGATGAGACCATGCCTCCAGAACCCCCTGAGAGGCTCCTCCACCCCCTCCTCCACTGTCTCCATGCTCAAGGAGGAATTTAAAGAGCAAATGTCAGTTTGGGTTTTCTTCAGGTTGACGTTTGCTCCGATTTCACACTAAAGAGTCGGGGTTTTTGTCTGAGAAAGGAGTGGGGCAAGTGGAAAACCACTCAGACCCATGCCTAAAAGTTGTGGGTCAAGCAGAAAACTGCTCAGATCCCACTTTCTAGGCACAGGACAAACCCTAAATAGCATGTGCCAGCACACTGCATGTCCACAATGAAACAGTGCTGATTTCAGCCTATGGCTTATTGTGATGTTTGAACCAGACCAGAAAGTGTGGTGCCTCATCATATCAGCTCAAATAACATAGATTTATTTTTATTTTTATTTTTATTTTTACAGCTTACACCGGGCATAGCTTTCGAAGCAGTCCTCCATGAGTATAGTATTAAGCAATTCTTCTGAGATTTGTGCAGCAATTGAAGCCCCCTTTGCACCAATCTGGAGGG